CGTTGTCGTCGTTGTCGCCGTCGTCGTCCTCCCTCCTCCCTCGTGGTCGTCTTCGATGGCGACGTCGTCGTCGTCATCGTCGTCGTCGTCGGCGTCGGTGTCGTCGTCGTCTTCGTCGTCGTCGTCGGCGTCGTCGTCGCCGTCGCCGCCGTCGTCGTCGTCGTCGTCGTCGTCGGCGTGGTTGACGTCGTTGTCGTCGGTGTCGTCGTTGTCGTCGTCGTCGGCGTCGTCATCGTCGGTGTCGTTGTCGTCGTCAGCGTTGTCGTCGTCGTTGGCGTCGTCGTCGTCGTCGGTGTCGTCGTCGTCGTCGTTGTCGGCGTCGTCGAAGTCGTTGAGACGTCGTCGGTGTCGTCGTAGTCGTTGTCGGCGGCGTCGTCGTCGTCGTTGTCGCTGTCATCGTCGGCGTCGCTGTCGTTGCCAAGTGCCATTTGGTACCCACCGTCACGGTCTTAAGAAATTTTGCGAACCAAGTTGCGGGTGGGTGGGTGGGATGTTTGCGCGAGCAGTGGAGTGGACAGCCTCAAAACAGTCAAAGTGAATTGCACCACATAGACTGCACCACATACATAGACTGCACCGCATATGTTGCACCACAAAGTTCACACCACATTGATTACATAATGCCGATCGCACCACATGTATCACGCCCCAAAAATCGCACCGCGTACATTGCACCACATATATTGCATCACAACTATTTATCCGCATCTATTGCGCCACATCGATTCCCTTTTGAAAAAGAGAATAGGCTCTACCCCCCCCCCCCGGACTTAACGCTTCCATTTCATATATATATATATATATATACTGCATGCTCGTCCATCCGAAATATGAAATCATACCATCCCAGGCAGGCAGTTTCCCCCCCTGAGGGTCCCTTGTAAAAAACACTATGCGGTGACATTTTTTGTTCTAGCATAGCACTTTTTCACGAATCCCTTGCAACAAATGGGACGAAGTGCACACGCGCGCGTCGTCGCGCGCGCATGCCGAAATCCTTCAAACACCTTCGGTGCTGGAAGGGTTTTGCAATCGAGCTCCCCAAAAAACATACAAAAACACTTGGTTTCGCAACACTGATTTGCGAAGAAAGCTTCCGCGCGAGCTTTTGCGAAATCTTAAGAGAACCATAGGTTTTTCAACATTTTCACAAAATTCTTCCAAACGGGCTTCGCGCGCGCGCATGTCGAAACCTGTCGAACGCCCTTGCGCGTGTGCCGTCGCGGGAATCCCTTGCAAAAAATGGGACGAGGTGCAGACGCGCGCGTGGTCGCGCGCGTACGTCGAAATCCTTCAAAACCCATCGGTTTCGGAAGGAATTCGAAATCGCGCGTCCAAAAAACCTACAACCACCCAAGGTTTCGCAACACGGATTTTCAAAAAAAAGGGTGCGCGCGCGCTCTTGCGTCGTCGTCGTCGTCGCCGTCCTCCCTCCTCCCGCGTCGTTGTCGTCGTCGTCGTCGTCGTCGCCTACGTCGTCCTCTGTCCTTCCTCGTGTTCGTCGTCGTCGTCTTCTTTGGCGTCGTGGTCGTTTCCGTCGTCGTTGTCGCCGAGGTCGTCCTTCCTCCTCCTCCCTCGTCGTCGTCGTCGTCGTCGTCGTCGTCCGTCGTCGGCGTCTCGTCGTCGTCCCTCCTATTTCGTCGCCGTCGTCGTCGTCGTCGTTGTCGTCGTCGTCGTCTTCCCTCCTCCCTCGTCGTTGCCGTCGTCGGCGTCGCCGTCCTTCCTCCTTCTTCGTCGTTCGCGTCGTCGCCGTCCTCCCTCCTCCCTCGTCGTTGTCGTCGTTGTCGCCGTTGTCGCCGTCGTCGTCCTCCCTCCTCCCTCGTCGTTGTCTTCGTCGTCGGCGTCGGCGTCGTCGTCGTCTTCGGCGTCGGCGTCGTCGTCGTCGTCGTCGCCGCCGTCGTCGTCGTCGTCGCCGCCGTCGTCGTCGTCGTCGTCGTCGTCGTCGTCGGCGTCGTTGACGTGGTCGTCGTCATCGTCGGCGTCGTCGTTGTCGTGGTCGTCGGCGTCGTCATCGTCGTCGTCGTTGTCATCGTCGGCGTCGGCGTCGGCGTCGTCGTCGTCGTCGGTGTCGTCGTCGTCGTCGTCGTCGTTGTCGGCGTCGTCGAAGTCGTTGGAGACGTCGTCGGTGTCGTCGTAGTCGTTGTCGGCGGCGTCGTCGTCGTTGTCGCTGTCATCGTCGGCGTCGCTGTCGTTGGCAAGTGCCAGTTGGTACCCACCGTCACGGTCTTACGAGATTTTGCGAACCAAGTTGCGGGTGGGTGGGTGGGATGTTTGCGCGAGCAGTGGAGTGATCAAGCGCGGTGCAGAGTAGTCAATTGCACCACATAGATTGCACCACATAGATCGCCCAACATAGATTGTACCACCTGCATTGCGTCACATAGATTGGACCGCGTAGATGGAATTGTACCGTACAGGCTGTAACGCATATGTTGCACCATAAAAATGTGCACCACATTGATTGCAAATCACAGTTCGCACCACATAGTTGCCAACACATCGATGGCTTTGCGTAGATTGCACCACATAGATTCATTGGCTTACGCCACACCGCTGACCCCTTGGGGCGGCAGCAAGAGTGAAAGACGGAGTTCGCGGAACGCGCGCGATCGCTGGGCAATCTTGGGGTTTCGGCCTGTCTTACGTAGCGTGTGGGGTTCAAGAGGGGGCCTTGTAGGGGATTGTTTTGACGTTTCTCGTGGTCTTATGTGGGTTGCTTGGGGCCTTCACGGGGCCTGTCCCAGGCTTGCTTTGCCACCCCCAGGATAGGCTCGGGGATCGGTGAGACCCAGCTGGGGGTGCGTCCGGCCAGAAGTTCGAGAGTGGATCCAGCTGTGTCGACGAGGAGCTTCCTGAAGGCCCAGAGGGGGCGGAGAGCGCCCAAGAACTAGGAGTCTCATGCCTCGAGCCTCGATCCACCCCGTGTTCCTTCCTTTGCGAAGGGGTGGCACCGGCCAGGGAGGTTGATCCTCACCCCAGACCCTCGGTGGCGGTCCTGGGCACCGAAAACGGCTCCTGGAGGCTGAATTGGAGGAGATGCTTCGGGTGGTCGAAAGACCACGAACATTTGTGAAACATAAGCATTGGACGATTGTGGCCTCTTGGGCCCCTCTTGGGAATGCCCTTGGTAGCCCCGGCAGTGCCGAGTGTTACACATATGTACATGTGTATACATGTGTATGTAGGTTTGTATGTGTGTACATACATACATACATACATACATACGTACGTACGTACGTACATACATACGTACGTACGTACGTACATACATACATACATACATACATGCATACATGCATGCATGCATGCATGCATGCATGCATGCATGCATGCATACATGCATACATGCATACATGCATACATGCATACATGCATACACGCATACATGCATACATGCATACATGCATACATGCATACATACATGCATACATGCATACATACATACATGCATACATGCATACATACATACCTGCATACATGCATACATGCATACATGCATACATGCATACATGCATCCATACATACATACATATATACATACATACATACATACATACATACATACATACGTACGTACATACATACATGCATACATACGTGTGTATACATATAAATATTACATATAGAATTGTGTATATATATATATATATATATACATATAGTGGCCTTCGGCCCATCCCCCCACCGTGCCTTGGTTGTCGGGCTGAGATCCTTGGTGCCTGGGTTGCGGTTAAGAAGTTGCATGCCTCAAGTGGTACTTATTGGGGGACTCTTGGGGCCTCTTGGGGGGCCTCTTGGGGCCTCTTGGGGCGCCTCTTGGAAGCCTCACGGGCCCTGTTGGGCGTCTCTTGGCGCCCCCTGGGGCCGCTTTGGGGCGGAAGGCTCGGATTGTTGGTTCAGGCTCCCCCTCTTGGGCTTCTCTTTGGGCCGTCTTGGGGCGCTCTTGGGCCGTCTTGGGAGCCTCTCGGGCCGTCTTGGCGCCCTCATGGGCCGTTTCGAGCGCCTCTTGTGAGCCTCTCGGGCTGTTTTGGGACGGTCTTGCGGGACTCTGGGGCCGTCTTCAACGCCGCGAAGGCCGAAAAGTCGTGTAAATATGGTAAAAATGCACGTTTCCCAAAATGAATTCGACGATTTTGGCCTCTTGGGCCCCTCTTGGGAATGCTCTTGGAGGACGTCTTGGGGCCATCCTGGGGGTCTTGGGCCGACCTTTGGGCGTCTCGGGGGCCTCTTGGGCCGTCGTGGGGGCTGCTTGGAGCCCTCTGGGGCTTCGTGGGGCCTGATGATACCTTTGCCCCCCCCCCCCCCCCTTCCAAACTGGCCCGGCCGGGCTCCCGGAGGAGGGGTTTGGGGAGGGGGAAGCATCTCACACGCCGTGACCCCAAGGGGTCGGCGGATTGCACCACATTGCACCACACATGTTTCCTCCCATGTATAGCACCGCATTGACTGCAAACTACATTTGTTTATGAGCACCACAAAGATTGCACACCACAGATTGCACGACAATCATTGCACAACATATATTGCACCGTGCAGATTTTTTCCATATAGATTTCACAGCCTGGATCGCACCACATCTATTGCACCAAGTAGATCGCACTGCGTAGATCGCACCACCTGTGTAGCCCCGCATAAATTGCACCGCGTGTATTGCACTGCATAGGCTGCACCACATAGATTGCACAACCTATATTGCACCACATATATCGCAGGCTAAATCTATTGATAGAAACGCATTGTTAGGGGTCCACGCTGGCGAGCACATATGTGAGTTTTCATTTCCAGGTAAACGTATGTAAATGCGCGTTTTTGCACGTGCACGCATCCAGCAGAACTTGCACACAAACGCACACGCACACGCACACGCACACGCACACGCACACGCACACGCACACACACTCGCTTAACATGCATGCGGTTGCGAGCACATTGGCAGCCCCCCTCCTCTCCCTGCCTGCACCTCCTGTGCCCCCATGCCGGTCCGCGCCCAGCCTGCCCAGGAGGTGGAGCGGTACAGGCTCGCGAGCGAGAGGATCTCGTCCGTCCCCGGCGGCAGGATGCCCGGCACCGCCGCCATGCACTTGCTCGGTGGTGGCCCAGTGGCTCAGATGTTGGTTCCCATCGGGCGCGCCACGATCGTCGAGGAAGAATGGCATCTGAGGGGACGAACATGCCGATGCCGCTGCTCGTCCTGGAGAGTTCTAGCCGCCACGTCTGGAGCATCCTCGAACTTCTGGTCAGGATGCACCTCAGGATAGGTCTGGGGTGAGGTGGTATCGGTACCTCCTGGTCCTCCCAAAGTAATTATCCCGGCAAAGCAACCTAACAGCGATGTGTAGGAGCATATCTGGAAGCATTCCCTTTAATATTCAGATGAGAATCCAGTTGTAGAATTCTGCTGTTCTCGCAGTCGTAGTCGCATTCGCGATGACAGTCGCAGTGGCAACGGCAGTCGCAGTCACAGCCTCAGCCTGCTCAGCCTCAGCCTCAGCCTCAGCCTCAGCCTGCTGCCCTCGCCTCAGCCTCAGCTGCTCAGCCTCAGCATCAGTCTGCCTTCAGCCTCGGCCTCAGCTCAGCCTGCTTCAGCCTCACATGCTCAGGCCTCAGCCTCAGCAGCCTGCTCAGCCTCAGCCTTCAGCCTCAGCCTCAGCCTCAGCCTCAGCCTGCCTCAGCCTCAGCCTCAGCCTGCTTCAGCCTCAGCCTCAGTCTGCCTTCAGCCGCGGCCTCAGCCTCAGCCTGCCTCAGCCTCAGCCTGCATCAGCCTCAGCCTCAGCCTCAGCCTGCCTCAGCATCAGCCTGCCTCAGCCTCAGCCTCAGCCTGCCTCAGCCTCAGCCTCAGCCTGCTTCAGCCTCAGCCTCAGTCTGCCTTCAGCCTCGGCCTCAGCCTCAGCCTGCCTCAGCCTCAGCCTGCATCAGCCTCAGCCTCAGCCTCAGCCTGCCTGCCTCAGCCTCAGCCTCAGCCTGCCTCAGCCTCAGCCTCAGCCTGCTTCAGCCTCAGCCTCAGTCTGCCTTCAGCCTCGGCCTCAGCCTCAGCCTGCCTCAGCCTCAGCCTGCATCAGCCTCAGCCTCAGCCTCAGCCTGCCTCAGCATCAGCCTGCTCAGCCTCAGCCTCAGCCTGCCTTCAGCCTCAGCATTGCTGCTTCAGCCTGTCCATCAGCCTGCCTCGAGCCTCGGCCTCTGGCCTCCGCCTGCCTCAGCCCCAGCTGCTATGAGCCTCAGCCTCAGCCTCAGCCCTGACTCAGCATCAGCCGGCGTCAGCCTCTGCCTGCCCTCAGTCCTAAGCCTCAGCCTCAGCTTGCCTCAGCATCAGCTGCATCAGCCATCAGCCTTCAGCCTTGCCTCAGCTAGCCTCCGCCTGCTTCAGCCTCACGCCTCAATCTTGACTTCAGAACTCAGCCTCAGCCTCAGCCTGCCTCAGCATCAGCCTGCTTCAGCCTCAGCCTCAGCCTGACTCAGCCTCAGCCTCAGTCTGCTTCAGCCTCAGCCTCAGTCTGCCTTCAGCCTCGGCCTCAGCCTCAGCCTGCCTCAGCCTC